TCTCTGTGGGAATGATATTCCACAGGGAGGACATCACCACAGAGTAAGGACCTTCTTCTGGGTCCCACCACATGGAGCTCCTTAAGATAGGGGACCCCCGACAATCCGTACTTCTTTGCTCTGGTGGGTTGGATAGATATAAACGGAGAAAAGACCGTCCTTCAAATAAATTGGCCCCCCAAACCAGGGATCACTTTGAATTCCCCGGCCAATTTGAAAAAGACGGTTCTGGGAGTTATAGTTGGAGTCACCTGGGGGGGCGGAAATGAAGACTTTTCCTCCAGTGAGACACACATACAAGTTTTCTCCTGCCTTACAGTCGGACGTGAGAAACTTTAGTGACTTGTATTCAGCCTGCGAAGGTGTGGATTGTCTCATCCACACAGCCTCGTACGGGATGACCGGCATAGAACAAGTGAGTCCAGTTTGATTTTCCTTCGTTAGCTCCGGAGTTTTGCAAACGATGCAGGCTCTCTTGAAGATGAGAAGTTTATTCTGAAACCAGGTGACCGTCAGTTCTAGTCCTGCTTTAGGCACAAAAAAACAGGTAGGTTACTTTGGGCCAATCACCAGGTGACCGTGAGTTCTAGTCCTGCTTTAGGCACAAAAACCAGCTGAGTAACTTTGGGCCAATCCCCAGGAGGCAGTGAATTCTAGTCCCACCTTGGGCATGAAAGTCAGCTAGTTGATTTGGGTCCAGTCACCAGGAGAGGGTGAGTTCTAGTCCTGCCATAGGCATGAAAGCCAAGTGGATGACTTTGGGCCAATCGTGCTCTCGCAAGTCTAATCCACCTCACAGGGCTGTTTTTCTTGGGAAAATAGGAGGAGGAAAGAGCATTAGGTATGCAATTCTAACAGCGGGGACTGACCTTGGAGTCAAGGTCAGCGAATAACTCTGGACATCTGACCCGCCCACGAAAAAGAAATGCAACATTTCAAAAGCATTTTCAGGACCTTCTGCCGTAACTGCTCGGGAAATATATAAGGGGATAGAGCAGTGCTTCTCAACGTCAGTCTCTTTAAGATGCGTCCACTTCAACTCCCAGAATTCCCTTGCCCAGGGAATTCTAAGGAGTTGAAGTCCATCCGTCTTAAAGGGGCGGAGGTTAAGAAACACCGGAATAGAGCAAGTCCTTTTCTGTGTTGTGTTGTGACGTGTTCTTCCTCTTCTCCTAGCTGCACAAGAAGCGCATTCGGTCGGTCAACATTGGAGGGACTGGAATCGTCCTTGAAGGTGTGTTAAATGGTGTTTTGTGTGTGGTTGTGATGATGGTAGGTGACCAAAAAAATCCAAAACAAAACAGATCAACTTTTGCTGACCCAACCAAATTCAGGATTGAACTACTAAGAGGAGACCAGGCTTATATTGAAGCTTATATTTGGGGACTGGTGAGAGGGATGTCACTTTTTTTTGGGTACTAGGAAACCCACGCTTAACATCCTTCTGTAGTCACAACAGAGTGTGCAATTGTATTGTTGCCCAGAGTTTTCGGTGCAGAGATATTTTCTTCAGGCTTTGGAGGACAAAACTCTACAATCTTCTTGTTGTCAACTCATAAAACATTTTTTATGGTTGTTTTATAGTTGCCAACAGAAGGGAAGAGAGGGGAAGGGGTTTGAAAGAGCAGTCTGGCAGCTGGGAATCGAAAGTGCATTCCATACAGTTTTCCAGAGATTGTAACCAGGCGACTGAAGTTTCTGCAGTGCAAAAATCTTAACTGGAGACTATGATTGATGTCTCTTGGCTCTCGTGTTTCATTGGAGAATATGAATTATGATACACCCAGAGGGGGAAAACCAGGGTCAAGGGTGACAGTGAATTATTATATGTCTTAGTTGGCTACACCCAGGTCATGCCGGCATGTTAACTCCCAATAAATTCTGTTTACTTTTGGATGTTTGGCTCGAGACTCATGATTTAAATGGGAGGTAACTGCTGGAATCTTGACACTTTTGTCATGTTGTCCCATAAAATAGGGAAAGAAAATGGCAGGTTTCAGGGCTGAATCAAGGCTTCCAAAAATCTGTTGTTCGGGATCACCTGGTGGCGCCATACCCCATTTTCCAAATTGGAGTTTTATGCTTTCTCTTTTCTCTGGGACAATAAGTCCTATCTCCATTTATGGGCTACCACAGTGTTTTCTCAACCATGGCAGCTCGAAGATGTGTGTGGGACTTCAACTCCCAGAATTCCCTAGCCAGCAAGAATTCTGGGAGTTGAAGTCTACACATTGTTAAATTGTCAAGGTTGAGAAACGCTGGCCTACATTGGCTCCACTCTTCTAGTTTTTCTTTCCGTATCCACAATTTTATTCCCCCCACAAATAGTCTGCCAACCAATGATTTCCCCCTCTTTCCAGCAACGCAGTTAAAACAAAATGTCTTTCAAGTTGAAGGCCAACTCCTGGGGACATCCCAGAAGCATCCCTATCCTCGCCAAAAGTAATTTCCCTTCACCTTCTTGCCAGAAGTGGTATTCAGCAGGTTCTGACCAGGGGTGGAATAGGTTCGCACCTATTCGCTAGAACCGGTTGCTAACATTCTAAGCAGTTTGGAGAACCGGTTGTTAGAAGAAATTACTGAACTAATCCTGTAAGGAAGGCAGGAAGGAAACATTCTGGTGTTGCTTACAGAAACTGCCTCTCCATTAACCCTTAGTACATTCTTGGCAGGACTAGACTTCCTGTCTCAGGAACTTCTCTGGAGTTTTTTCCCCCTCCTTTGCTGGTATTTTGCTTTTGTGGAGTGACCATTCAAAGTTACAATGGCACTGGAAAAAGTGACATGACCATTTTTCACACTTACGACTGTTGCAGCATCCCCACAGTCACAAGAGGCCAGACGAGGAGATGCGTGCCTCAATGTGAGTGATGTTGAGTTGGCCACATCCAGCCAATAACATGACCACCAAGCCATGTCCACCCAGTCACATGACCACCAAGCCACACCCACCACCTAAGCCATGCTTACAGAACCGGTTGTTAAAATTTTTGAATCCCATCTCTGCTTCTGACCGGTTCTGAAGAACCGGTAGTGGAAATCTTGAGTAGTTCAGAGAACCGGCAAATACCACCTCTAACTGGCCCTGCCATCTCTTCTCTGCCTCCCGAGTCTCAGCTGATCGGCTGGGTCTCCTTTGGTTGCCCTGCACAGGAGAATGGGGCTGGAAAGCAGGTTAGTTGGGTGGGGAGGGAATGGGATTTTGCAGTATCCTTCCCCTGCCATGCCCACCAAGCCACGCCCACAGAACTGGTAGTAAAAAAAATTGAATCCCTCCACTGCTTCTCACCCAGTGGTTTTTCTACTTCTCAGATTAACCGACAGCCCAGAGATCTCCTTGTGGTCTCTCATCCCAATACTTTTCCTCAGCTCTGCCTTACTTAAGGTTTTGAAGTCAACCCTGCTCAGCTCCCCCTTATCTTCCAGGTTTGATGCAACGGTGGCTCGCTCCTTCAACCTCTTGCCCTCCCACAACATTTGGGCCGCCTGGCGTGATTTGAACCCCCAACCTGGCCCCTTTCTTTATCTCCACCAGTTTGCAAGCGGCAAAGGATCCCCAGGTTGATCTACACCAGTACAGTCGATGTAGTCTTCGCAGGACAAACGATCGTGGACGGCGATGAAGCGACGGTATCCTATGTTCCTTTAGAGCAGGTACGTCGTCCAGCTGAAATAAATCATAGGTAGGCCTCAGCTTACAACCACAATCAGGACTGGAACCTCTGGGGCGAAGAGAAGCGGTCATTTAGTCACACCCGATTTGGGGGCCTTTTTTTTTTGTCACGTCATTAAATGAATCAAGCGGTCGTTAAGTGAGCCCGGCCTTCCCCATTGACACTGCTTGTTGGAAGCCAGGTAGGAAGGTTGCAAATGGGGAAATCACATGACCCCCAACGATCCTAAATACAGGCCAGTTGTCAAGTGCCCGAATCCTGATCAGGTGACCACAGTCGTAAGGGCAAGGACTGGTTGTTAAGTCCCTTCTTTTTAGTCCTGTCGTACCTTCGAGCAGATGGTCGTAAGTCAAGGACTGCCTGTACTTTTTAGCACTGAAGGAAGGAACGAAGCAGCTGATTTCTGCTCCCGGTTGAAAAATTTTGCACGAGTGTGCCAGGTTTTCCAGGTCCTTGAAACATTTTGGAGTGTGCAAGGGGGCCAATCCAGTGGTGATATTCAGCCGGTTCGCACCAGTTCACACGAACCGGTAGCAAGGATTTGGCATCTGTCGCCAAACCGGTAGTAACTTCTGGCTGGCCACACCCCCAACCTGGTCGCCCAGTCGCCACTACCTGAAGCTCACTTGCCCTCACTTTTGTGTGTGTGTGTGTGCGCGCACGCTGCAAGAAGCAAAAAGGAAAAAAAAACAGCCACGCCCACCTAGTCACATGGCCACGCCCCCTGGCCACACCCCCTGTCCACGCCCACAGAACCGGTAGTAAAAAAAAAATTTTTTTGAATCCCACCACTGGGCCAATCACAATTCTGAAGCCAGTTTTTTGGGTTTTTTTGGATTTTGAATCTCCCTCTTTCTCTTTCTCTCTCTCTCTCTCTCTTTTAGCAAGTTAATGAATATTCCCGGACGAAAGCAATCGCAGAACAAATGGTCTTGGCGGCGAATGGATCCTTCCTGCCAGGTGCTTCTCTGCAAGTTCTGCCCTTCATTTCTTCCCCTGCCACCTTTTTACAGTTCAAGAAACTAGGGAGGGTTTCTTTTGGGATGTTTGCCATGTCCCTTTCCTTCGGAGGGCTCAGCTGCCTCTTCTCTGATACTAGCTCGATACCCGTACCTCGCTATGAAACTATGTAGTTGGGCTTAGTTTTTGGGGAGTAAAATAAGGGGGGGGGAAATTCTGCCTCTGCCTACCAGCATCCATTGGTATTCATTTGGCTAGTGTCCTGTCAGTGGATAAGAGAGTGGAGGGCTGTTTGGAAACGGAAGCATTATTTGCTGCGTGAGCAAGAAGAAGACAGCAAGGAGCCTGGGCGTGGCTTAGCTCAACTGTTCTGCACTAAAGCTGGTTGCTGCTGTGAAACTAAAACTGAACCTGACACTCCTCTCCTCTGCTTGTCTTTTGCATTTGGAAGAGATTTCTTTTCAGGTGGGGAGGGGGAGTAGAACTCCTTAGCATCAGAGCGTGTTAACAACAACAACAACAACAACAACAATAATAATAATAATAATAATAATAATAATAATAATAATAATAATAA